GAGCCCTGAGTCTGTTTCCAGGCAGTGGGTGAGCAGGGGTTGAGAACTTGCCCCAGGCTACCTGCCTCCCAGCTGCGAAAGAAAAGAGTTTTGGTTCTTCCCCCGCCTGTGGAGTCTGCACACCGGATTTGCACCTTCCCCCAAGTTCTGGTCAGGGGGCTTCTCACCCAGTTCAAATTGTTACAAAGTTCAGCTGGAGACTTCCTTCTTCCTGTGGCATTTTCCCTTGTGCCTCTGGCCGCCCTCCCGAAGGATCCCTGTGGTGCCAGGCAGGAATGGCCTGCTTGGGGACCCAGCGAACTCCCAGGGCCTTTCCCGCTGCTTCCTCTACCCCTGTATTTTGCTCAGCTCTAAATTGACTCAGCCTCCAGGTAAGGTCAGAAACTTCTCCTGCAAACTAGACCTTCTGTTACCCCAGTGGGGGTGTGTGTTTGGGGTGGAGGGTCTCCCTTTTTTATCACTTTCACAGTTTGGACATTCACAGTATTTGGGGTGTCTTCCGGTCCTGCAGGAGCAGCCTGCTTCCTTCAGAGGGTCTGTGGGTCCTCTGGGGACTGCTGGTTTGTTCTTGCAGTTGTTCTGGAGCTAAAATTGATAATGCGAGTCTCCGTAGGCTGCTTTCTGTCCGAGTTGGAGCTGCAATCTAGTCCTGCCTGCCATCCACCATGATGATCTCTTTCTGGCCAGAGGCATATTTAATGTCCTATTTCTATTAACGTTCTATTCATGATGATATATATTCTCTAAGATGATAAAAGCTTTCACTTTCTCTACAGCTATCCTCTCCTCTTGTTGAGCTCTCACCAGAATCACTGTAACGTCCATATTTCTACTAAAGTCTTTTCATGGCAATTTAGGCTTTTTCTAGCATGCACCTCAAAGCTCGTTCAGCCTCTACCCATTATCCACTTCCAAAGTCTCTTCCACATTTTTAGGTGTTTGTTACAGTAGCACTCCATCTCTTGGTACTGAAATATGTATTATCATTATTATTATCAGCTTGGGCTGCCATAACAGAACACCACAGACTGGATGGTTTAAATAACAGAAATTTATTTTCTCACAGTTCTGGCGACTAGAAGTTCAAGATCAAGGTGCCAGAAAATTTGGTTTCTGGGGAGGGCTCTCTTGGCTTGCAGAGTGCTGCCGTGTCACTGTGTCCTTCTAGGGCCTTTCTTCTATGCATGTGTGGAGAAAGAGAGAGAGCTCTGGCGTCTCTTCCTCTTCTTGTAAGATCACTAGTGCTACTGGTTTAGAGCCTCAATCGTTTTTGTTTTTTTTTTGTTTGTTTGTTTTTTTTTTTTTTCCGAGGCAGAGTCTGGCTCTGTCACCCAGGCTGGAGTGCAATGATGCGATCTCGGCTCACTGCAACCTCCGCCTCCCAGGTTCAAGCGATTCTCCTGCCTCAGCCTCCCGAGTAGCTGAGATTACAAGCATGCATCACCATGCCTGGTTAATTTTTGTATAAGGCTTCAATCTTATGACCTAATTTAATTATTTCCTCAATGGCTGTATCTCCAAATACAATAGCACTGGGGATGAGGGCTTTAACATCTGGATTTTGGGAGGACACAATTTGGCCCAGTTTTCTGTCCTTTTTCATTTTTACTTTTGGCAATTTAACTATATGTTTATCAACTTTGGTGATATTTTCAAAGAACCAGCTTTGGGATTTATTAACTTTCCCTATTGGATGTCAATTTCTATTTCATCGATTTATACTTTTATCTTTATTATTCCCTTTCCTCAACTTACTTTCATTTAATTTGCCTTTACAGTGATTCCCCCCACTTATCCACAGTTTATTTTCCACAGTTTCAGTTATCCATGGTCAACTGCAGTCTAAAATATTAAAGGGAAAATTCCAGAAATAAGCAATTCACGTGTTTTACATTGTGTGCCATTCTGAGTAGCATGATGGAACCTCCCACTGTCCTGCTCTGTCCTGCCCAGCATATGAATCATCCCTTTATTCAGTGTATCTCAGCTTTGTATGCTGCCTACCTATGAGTCACTTGGTAGCTGTCTCAGTTATCAGATTGGCAAATCGTAAGAAGATGGCTGAGTGTAGTACAATGCCATGTTTTGAGAAAGAGAGAGACCACATTCACATAACTTGTATGACAGTACATTCCTATAATTGTTCTATTTTATTATTAGTTATTGCTGTTAATCTCTGACTGTGCCTAATTTATAAATTAAACTTTCTCATAGGTTTATATATATAGGTGAAAACATAGTATGCATAGGGTTTGGTATTATCCATGGTTTCAGGCATCCACCGCGGAAGTGGCAGGGTGGGGGTTGGTCATAAAATGTATCCTTTGTGGAGAAGAGGGGCCACTATATTTCTAGCTTCTTATTGACTGACTTTTCTGCCTTGCATGTCTAGTAACTTTTTCTTGGATGCTGAAAATTTTGAATAGTACATTGTTCATGTCTTGGTTTTGCTAAATTTCTTTAAGATGTGTTGACATTTTTTTTGGCAGGTAGTTAAGAAACTTGCAGTTCAGCTTCACCTTTTGGGGCTTGTCTCAGGCTTTTGCTAGGGTAGATCAACAATAGTCCTGGCTCTAGGCCTGGTTTAGCTCCGGATCTAAAGCATCGTCTTGCTAATGCCCTAGATGTTAGTGAGGTTTTTCCACACTGGTTGGCATGGGGTTTTTGCTCTGTCGTCCAGGCTGGGGTGCAGTGGTGCAATGCAATCTTGGCTCACTGCAACCTTGGCTTCGGGGCTCAAGCAATCCTCTCCGCTTTGCTTCCCAAGTAGCTGGGACTACATGTGCATGCCACCACACCTGACAAAGTTTTATATTTTTAGTAGAGATGGGGTTTCACCATGTTGTCCAGACTGGTCTTGAACTCTTGGGTTCAAGTGATCCACAAACCTTGGCCTCCAAAAGTGCTGGGATTATAGGTATGAGCCACTGTGCCTGGCTGGCATGTTCTCCCAGCCCAATGTGAGCTCTGAGAATTGTTTGGCTTACAGCTTCTCAGGAGACCCTTCCGGGCCCATCCATGGATATATTAATATTCAGCAATAGAATCAAGGGAATCCCTCTGTTGATTTCTATATCTCTTTATCTGTACAGATCCTACCCCTCAGTATTCTGCCTGGCAAATTCCTGCTACTTGAGGCCCCCTTATCTCACTTAATGAAATCCCCATATATTGCTTGGATTCTCTCTCCCTGCAGCACAGTCCAAAAAATACCTCCAAGCAGACAGCTGAGGTAGGACTTACCCTGTTTTTTTCCCCTTTTTATCACATATCAAAGTCCTGTGAAAAATCTCTTGTCCAGTGTCTAAGTCTGATAGAAAATTTGAATGGGATATGAAGCGTGTTAGACCTCTGTTCAGTTTTCCAGTTGTTGACAGTAGGAGGGCAAAGCCAGCACTAATTACTCCAATAGAGTTAAAAATGGCAGCGTTGCAATAGCCTTTTAACTCATATCTCTGATTCTATCCTTGTAACTCTCCAATCTATTTTTTCACGTACCTTCCAGGGTAATCTTTTGAAAACAGAAGTCAGATTGTGCCGCTTCTTTGTTGAAGATTCTCAGCGGGTTTCCCACCTCTCTCAGAGTAAAGCCCTAAATCCCTACCATTGTCTAAGTCCGCCATTGCCTGGCTCCGGGTTCCCTTCTTCATTCATTACCATCTTCATTGCCCCTTCCTTCCCCGAGTCACGCTGCGTCGGCCATTTTCATTTCCTTCTTGTTCCTTGAACACCCCGGCACACGCCTGCCTTCCAGTCTTTGCACTTGCTCTCCCCAGTGCTTGGTTCTCTCTGCCTGAATCTGCCGGACTCAGCTGCTCTTCTCCAGCTCTCTTCTCAGACGTCAGCGCATCGCAGAGCCTTCTCTGACCAGTCCATTGTAAACCACCTCAGCCCCTGCACTTCATGTTCTGTTCCCTCCCCTGCTTTATTTTTCTTCATAGCATTTCCAGCCACCCAGGATATTACATGTTTGTTTACTCTCTTGATTCCCCCAGCTAGAATATAAGCTCTGTGTGAGCAAAGACCTTTTTTGTTCACTGCTGTATCTTGAGTGACTAGAACAGAGTGCCTAGCTCAGCAAATATTTTTTGAGTAGTGCTTAAATGAGTCGGGAGCAATAGTAGAAATTCTGTTTTCAACTCAGATCCTGAATCTGAGGCGACTAAACTCCCACAACGGGATTTCAACTGCCTTCCTATCACTGTAACTTGCAGAGTAAAGCTGATTATTTCAAAGTCATTGACAGAATGAAAGTTTTGGCAGGGAGGGAGGAAGTTAGGCAAGGAAAGAGAGAGGGAGAGAGAAAGAGAAAGAGAGAGAGACAGAGACAGACAGAGAGACTGAGTTGCCAAGCCAAACAAACAGAAAACACTGAAACCATTCCAGGATTTTCAGTGTAGAGGAACTAGAAGTTGATGATAGGACTTGGCAGAGCCTTCTTCAAAGTTGTACATATTGATGCTCAAGTTAGTAATAAATGTACGATTTTTTTTTTTTAAGACAAAGTCTTGCTCTGTCACCCAGGCCAGAGTGCAATGGCAAGATCTTGGCTCACTGCAACCTCCGCCTCCCAGATTCAAGAGATTCTACTACCTCAACCTCCTAAGCAGCTGGGACTACAGGCACGTGCCACCACGGCTGGCTAATTTTTTGTATTTTTAGTAAAGATGCGGTTTCACTGTGTTATCCAGGATGGTCTTGATCTCCTGACCTCTTGATCCACCCACCTTGGCGTCCCAAAGTGCTGGGATTACAGGCATGAGCCACTGCGCTCGGCTACAATCTTCTTTTTTAAGACAGTGCCTTGCTCTGTTGCTCAGGCTGGAGTGCAGTGGCACGATCATGCTTCACTGCAGCCTTGAACTCCTGGGCTCAGGCGATCCTCCTGCCTCAGCCTCCCAAAGTGCTGAGATTACAGGTGTCAAACACCAAGCTCGGCCTCCAAGTTCTCACTACAAAGTGAGGGTAGGTTATCTTATCAATTCTTTTCATAAACCTCATTAGGTGCCATGGTACAGAGCTCCTGTAGGATAAAGACTGCTTGCCTGAGAAGCTCCTGCCTGAGCATCCTGCTTAAAATTGTGATGTTCCTAGTGGAAAAGCTGGGAGCAGAATAAGCTAGAAAATTGTTCAGACTCAGCTTGTCTGGTGTTGGTCAGTAAGTGCCACATATTTACTTTATTTGCTTTTAGTTTTCTCTTTTCAGGGTTAATTATTAATTTAACAGTGGGTTTCTGGTGGGACTACCTACCAGTAATGAAAAACATTTTTATAGTTCATGCATTTTCATGAACTTGCCTTTCACATATTCTATTTCAGACCAGATCCAGCTTTTACAAGCACATTTTTTAGTGTTGATAGACTTCATAAAAATTGTTTCCTTCACAATTTTTTTCTGTCTTTAAAATAAAACCCAATAAAATGTTAAGACACATGACTTTGCCAATTATTCTCAACTTATTGTGAAAATTAGATTGCATTTGGTCTTTAGCCAGAATATATGTAAAATATGTTCTGTGATGAAATATCATTTACTTTTATTGTATTTATAGATCTTGGTTAGAGAAAAAAACCGGATGTATTGAGTGTTACACAGAAGAACAATTATTAAATTATTACTTGCCAGGGTTCTTCTTTCCTACCTTTTCTGGAGGAAAATTGTCAATTCAGAATTTCTCTTACGGGTCTCAGAGGCTAATAACTTATTGACTACAGAAAATGTCTTGTTTTACACTTACATGCAGGTGAAATATCACCTCTTAAAAAGCCTCTAGTGTGATATAATATACAACTTACGCAATAGCAGTAGGTAGATATAACACTAATTATAGAGATGCACAGGAATATATTTTGGGGCTTCTCCACACGTCTTCAAAGATTTTTCTTCCGAGACCCATTCCCAGGGCTTTTTGTTTAGACTAAAGGAAAGATGACTATGTGGCCTTCACTGACAGTCCTTGTGATTTATGAGTTTCCGTCTAAAATTTAGTCTAAAAAGCAAAGGTGACTTATTCTCACCTGAGCATTAGAAAAGCCTCTTGGCATTAAATATTTATAAGTTTTTGGAGATTGAAGAAATATATTTGCAGATTATTGCGTGAAACGTGTAAACTGAGAATTCAGTTTTACCTTCATAACTTTGACATAGTTGGTGCTACAGATGTTTGATGGAATTCTACTGTGTGTGATAATGAAATCATGATTCAAGGTTACGGTTTGTTTAGGGCACACAGGAAGAGGCAAGATGAGTCTATGCTGTGCTTTTTTGATTTGCAGCCGTAAAGTTCTGCCGTGAAACTATAGGATCAGACATTTGTTTATGTAAAAACGTGTGTCTAGCAGGAACTAATCTCTTTCTAATGTCACCTTATTCCACAGAATATTAATATTAGGAAATATAGTTGCATGTGGCTTTATATTGGATTCTGACTACCTAAGCCATTTTTGTCCATAAACAAATAAAAAGGATTTTGAGACTGTAATGTAATTTCAGCAACCCTGGAAACTTTCTAGTAATAAGAATACATATTCAAAAGCATCCACCCTTCTTGCCACCACTCAGATGGTTTAAAAATAGTCTTCCATGAGAATCCTAGAGTGCTTCGAAATGCCTCAAGCATATGCCAGATGCTAGTGGGAAAAGCGAAGGTACTTCCACTTCTTTCTTTCTTTTTCTCTCTCTTTCTTTCTTTTCCTTCCTTTCTCTTTCTTTCCCTTCCTTCCTTCCTTTTTTTCTTTTTCTTTCTTTCTCTTTTTCTTTCTTTCTTCTCTATTTCTTTCTGTCTCTCTTTCCTTCCTTCCTTTTTTCCCTCCCTCCCTTCCTTTTATCCTTCCCTTTTTCCTTCTTTCCTTCCTTTTTTCCTTCCTTCCTTTCTTCCTTCCTTTTTTCCCTCCCACCCTGCCTTCCATTTTTACTTCCCATTTTCCTTCCTTCCTTCCTTTCTTCCTTCTTTCCCTTCCCTTCCTCCCTCCCTACCTCCCCACACCTACCTACCTTCCTTCCTTCCTTCCTTCCTTCCTTCCTTCCTTCCTTCCTTCCTGGGGAGACAAAGTCTCACTGTCCCCAGGCTAGAGTGCAGTACATAGTCATGGTTCACTGCAGTCTCAAACTCCTGGGCTCAAGCAGTCCTCCCACCGCAGCCTCCTGAGCAGCTGGGACTACAGGTGCATGCCACCACGCCTGGCTAATTTTTTAAAAATTTATTTTTTATGGAGATAGGATCTGGTTATGTTACCCAGACTAGTCTCAAACCCTTGGGCTCAAGCAATTCTCCTGCGTCAGCCTCCCAAAGTGCTGGAATTCCGTATCTGAGCCACCACATTGAACCACTTCCACTTTTTTGTGATAGAAGAAGGAGCATGAGGTCTTCTTGTCAATGGAGACTTGCCAAGAAGCCCTCCTGGTACCACAGGAATTGGCGCAGTTGCCCTGTGCACACGGACTACATCTGCTTGTGGACATGCAAGATTAAATAAACATACCAGTAAAAGAGAAATACTGAGGTCTAGAATCAATATTTACTCATGGTATGTTTGCTTGGAAAATTGACTTTAGCCTGTTGTCACAGTAGGAGTGGCAGTGCCTAGCACTTGCTTCTATGGGAGACCAGACATGGGCTTGCCAAGATGAGGAAGGAGCCATCCGCTGGAAGGCGTGTGTGGCAGGAGAGTTGAAGATTAGGGTGTAGGACCATGGGTGGGTGCCAGCAAAGAGGTCCTTCTCCTTGTCAGGTAGCTGCTGAAAATCCTCCTGGCTTCTGAGGTAAATATTCTGCAAATTGCTGACTATCAGGAGCCATAGCTTCAGAGGAGGCATCTATCTTTCTGAAGACACACTGGAGGAGGGAATGCGGGGAGAACGCAGAAGAGCCGCTTTCTTCCTTTGTGAGTCTAAAGACGACTCTTTTAGGATAGCGCTACCCGCTGTAGTGCAGGACACAAAAGTGTGGTGAGGCCAACAAGACAGCAGTCTAATTTGCATTTGAGTCTGAGTTCAGAGCATGTTTTCTAGGTTGACTGGTGACTCTCCTCCACACATCATTCAGCAACTCAGGCTGACAGGAATGATGGAATGACAAGTCCACAGTTAAAGATTTTCTCTTAAGCAAGTGATACGGTTTGGCTGTGTCTCCATCCAAATCTCATCTTGAATTCCCATGTGTCATGGGAGGGACCCGGAGGGAGGTAATTAAATCATGGAGACAGGTCTTCCCCTTGCTGTTCTCATGATAGTGAATAAGTCTCACGAGATCTGATGGTTTTAAACACAGGAGTCTCCTGGCACAAGGTCTCTTCTCTTGTCTGCTGCCATGTGAGACGTGCCTTTCACCTTCAGCCATGATTCTGAGGCCTCCCCAGCCGCGTGGAGCTGTGAGGCCAATTACACCTCTTTTTCTTCCCAGTCTTGGGTATGTCTTTATCAGCAGTGTGAAAATGGACTAATAACAGCAAATGAGGAGAAAATTTTACACGTTATTATTATTATTATTATTATTATTATTATTTTGAGATAGGGTCTTGCTCTGTTGCCCAGGCTGGAGTGCAATGGCATGATCTCAGCTCAGCAGGCTTGACCTCTCAGACTCAAGTGATCCTCCCACCTTAGCCTCCTGCATAGCTGGACCACAGGCACGTGCCACCATGCCCAGCTAATTTTTATTTTTTCGTAGAGACAGGATTTCGCCATGTTGGCCAGGCTGATCTCAAACTCCTGGGCTCAAGTGATTCTCCCACATCAGCCTCCCAAGGAGCTGGGATCACAAGCATGAACCACCATGCCTAGCCTACTCATTATTTTTTATTTCATTTCTTTTGCAAGAGTGGTGTCATTTGGGCACACCCAAATAAATGGAGTCATTCACTGAGGAGGGCTGAAAAATGCCATCCTCACTTGGACAGTCCTTTGAGAAAGTCTGGACTACATCTTGGGTAAGTGTTTAGAAGGGTTTCATGTACTGCTGGCTCTGAAACAGTGAAGGGCCTGAGATGTTACCCTCCTTGTACAGTCACACAGACACACACATACACAAGACACCCACACAGCAGATACACTAGACCTCTGGATAAGAGAAAATAAACACTTATTTATTTAGAGAACTTCTTAGTGCCAGTTCTTAGGAGATACATTCTAAAGTATTTTTAGAGTACACATGTCATGATGTCTGCAATAAATTTTTTGGTAACAGCTTTATAAGATAGAATTCACCCATTTAAATTCTACATTTCACATTCATTTAAATTATACATTTTAAATTATACATTTTCATTCATTTAAATTATTTACTTTTTTGCATGTTTACAGAATCATGCAATCATCAAGACAATGAATTTTAGAACATTTTCATCACCTCCAAAATAAACTTTATACCCTTTAACTATCACCTCTCAATCCTTACAGCCCCCTCTAGCCCTAGGTAGCCACGAATTACTTTCAGTCTCTAGAGACATTCATATGCTATACATTTTATATGAATGGAATCATACAATATGTGGTCTTTTATGACTGGCTTCTTTTATTTAGCATATTGTTTTCAAGGTAATTATGTCATAGCATGTATCAGTATGCCATTCCTTCTCATCAATAAGTCATATTCCACTGTATAGATATACTACATTTTGTTTCTCCATTCATCGATGGATGGACATTTGGATTATTTTCACTTTTTTGACTGTGATGAATAATGCTGGTATTAACATTCTTGTTTATGAATGGTCATCTGTTTTAATTTTTCCTAGGGGTAGAATTGCTGTTGAGTGTTTCTATCATGAAAGGTTGTTGGATTTTGTCAAATGCTCTTTCTGCATCTATTGAGATAAATGTGTGGTCTTTGCCCTTCATTCTATTGATTAAGTGTATTACATCAATTGATTTTTGAATGTTAAACTAACCTTGCATTCCTAGGACAAAATTCATTTAGTCATGGTGTATAATCTTTTTCTATGTTGCTGAATTCAGTTTGCTAATATTTTGTTGAGGATTTTTACATTTATTCATAAGAGATGTTGGTCTATAGTTTTATTTTCATGTGAAATTTTGTCTGATTTTGGTATCACAGTATTTCTGACCTCATGGAATGATTTAGGAAGTTTTCTCCACTTTTCGGTTCTTTTGGAAGAGTTTGGGAAGAATCGCTGTTAATTGTTCCTGAAATGTTTGGT